GGCAGCTTGTCCGGAGCGCACGTCCTCTTACAGGGCATGGTGGACACTGCGAACAAGAACTTCGGCGGCGGGAACACCGCTTGGGAGGAGAGGGCGCTGTCCAAGTATGAGTTCAGGTGAGCGAGGGCCACACAGCGGGGCCTCAGCCCGCTAGCCCTAACCCGTCGTAGCGGCCGCTGCCTCAGGCCATTATGGCCTCGGCTTCTACACTGGGCACTGCCACCCCGGCCCGCCGGACCAGCCCTGGACCCTGCGACAGCTGACGGCTGCCCTTCCCGTCTCTGCCTGGAGCTCTGGCCACCTGTCCACGTTAACACTTGTGGCCTGACCACTAGGTCATCCCTTGGTGTGATGTTTCAGGGTCTTCCATCACCCCGCCTGGCACTCTGGGCCCCCGGCGTGTGGGTGAGCCCCACAGGCCAGCAGGCTCCTCGGTCCCAGCAGCTGTGTCCGGCCTTGTTGCAGCGAGATCCGCCTGGTGGAGATCCTGGAGGGGCTGTGCGGGAGCAGCGACTTTGAGTGCAACCAGATGGTGGAGCGGCATGAGGAGCACCTGGAGGCCTGGTGGCTGCGGCTGTGAGTGGCTGCTCTAGGAGATGCTCTGGGCACTACTGGCCCTGCCGCATCTCCCACCCAGTGACAAAACCGGGAGCTTGAAGGTCCTGTTTATGGTGGGACTTCTCAGGGTTTATGGCGCTGACTCCTCACTTCGAGCTGCTTAAGCAAGTTGTCCCGGGAAGACCAGCAGAGAACGTAGTGGTTACATTGCTGGGCTCCCACAGAGTCGACTGTGGTTCGAGTCCCAGACCCGGTGGCTTAAAACTTACGTTGGGCGCATGTGTGTGCGTGCCAAGAGTCCTGGGAAGAGACTGGAGGAGAAGGGATTGCGGTGTGGCCATCCCCCCAGGGGGTGATTCTCGCTTTTCTTTCTCTCTCCAGTGAGCCCTATAGCAAAAATCTCTCAAAAAAAAAAAGAAAAGAAAAGCTGTCATGTGAGAATTACTGAACGCTTTCTAATCCTGTAGGAAGAAGGAGCATCCTGATTTATTTGAATGGTTCTGTGTGAAAACGCTGAAAGTGTGCTGTTCCCCAGGAACCTACGGGCCCGACTGTGTTGGTAGGTTTCTCGGAAACCCCAGGTTTAATATGTCACTCCTGTTACCACTGTCCGGGATTCTGGGTGGATCAAAGCATGGGTCGTGGGCCGCATTAGCTCCATGTGGGGTCTAGGACCTGCCGCCAGCATCGTCCTCTGTGGGGCAGTGCAGAATACCCCACACCCCAGACCACAGCCTCTCTGCCAGCTTCATGCCCCGGGAGTTACCCTCTGGGCTACAAAACTCCCAAGCACCTAATGCCAACTGCACCCTAACTCAGGTTTGTAGGCTCCCCCAAGGGTCACCCTCGCTGACCTGCCTGCATGCTTTTGCCCCACACAAGGGAAGTAGCCACCAGCATTGCTCTGCCCTAGTGCAGCACAGGCCACCTCCACGTGGGCGCCTGTCCGGCCGGCCGTGGCCTTTACCTGCGTGGGGAAGAGGTTCCTCTGGGAAGAGGTGTGTGCTGATGTGGAGGCGGGTTTCACAAGTCGGCCCTGTGGTCAGGTGGGGCCAGGGCCACGACTGCCTCCCGCACCCCCCCGGCTTTCCCTCGCAGCCCATTGAGGTGCCCTCCTGCCTGTGCAGTCCCACGTGCCCAGTGCAGAAGCACCCCCATGTCCCAGAGCCACGCTCCGTAGCCAAGCCCGGTAACTGATGGTTTGCCCCACATAGGGGACCCGCGTTGGCCTTCAGTCCCTGGGAGACCAGAGGCTGTGCTTTCTGCAGCTAGAACCGTGTAGGGTGTGGATATTGAGAAGCTCGGTGGCCACTAGATGGTGAGCATTTGAGGGCACAGCAGGCCACCCCAGCGTGCTCTGAATATGGCTTTGTGTCCCCGGCAGCGTGCCAGGGCGGGTCCAGGAGGCCCTGCGGTGGGAACGGCCACTGCAGCGGGGACGGCAGCAGAGAGGGGGACGGGTCCTGCCAGTGCCACGTTGGGTATCAGGGCGCACTGTGCACTGACTGCGTGGATGGCTACTTCAGCTCGCTGCGGAACGAGACCCACAGTGTCTGCACAGGTATGGGGCAGCCTTCCCTGGGCACCTCCCGATGTTCCCAGAGGCCCAGGGCAGCCTGGGAGTCCTGGGAGGTGGGGACCTGGGGAAAAGTGCGAACAGGCCAGCCGGTGGCGTGGAGTTAAGATGGCCAGATCCCACTTAGCCAACTGCACGGTTTAAGTCCCAGACCCGGTAGCTTGAAGAACACTCCAGGCGCATGTGCATGCGTGCCCGACCACAGTCCCAAGAGGAGAGTGAGGGGAGGGCTTGCAGTATGGCCATCCCCATGGGGGTGCTTTCTCACCTCTCTCTCCTCAGTTAGCACACAACCCTCTAGCAAATTCTTTTTCAAAAGGCGTGAGGGGGGAACCAGCAGTTAGCATAATGGCTATGTTGCTGGACTCCCACGTAGTCAATCACGGTTCGCGTCCTGGACCCCGTGGCTTAAACTCACGCCGGGCACGTGTGCATGCGTGCCCAGGATCCCGAGAGGAGAATGAAGAAGGGATTGTGGTGTGACCATCCCCCCTGGGGGGTGATTTCTCGCTTTCTGTCTCTGTGTCTCTCTCTGTCTGTCTGGCAAGCACATGCGCCCTATAGCAAAAACCTCTCCCCCAAAAAATAAAAAGGGCGTGAGGGGAGTGTTTCCGAATGATACTCAGGAGGGAGGCCCTGGCTTCCTCTCGGCGTCCTTCCGGGCAGGCTTGAGCACACTGTGGCATTGCCCTCTGCTCAGGCTCGTTCTTGGACCCGGCACCAAGTGGTGGCCCTGCTCTGTTCACTCAGTCCCGTGGAAGGGATTGTGGTGTGACCATCCCCCCTGGGGGGTGATTTCTCGCTTTCTGTCTCTGTGTCTCTCTCTGTCTGTCTGGCAAGCACATGCGCCCTATAGCAAAAACCTCTCCCCCAAAAAATAAAAAGGGCGTGAGGGGAGTGTTTCCGAATGATACTCAGGAGGGAGGCCCTGGCTTCCTCTCGGCGTCCTTCTGGGCAGGCTTGAGCACACTGTGGCATTGCCCTCTGCTCAGGCTCGTTCTTGGACCCGGCACCAAGTGGTGGCCCTGCTCTGTTCACTCAGTCCCGTGGAATGTTCTAGCAAAAAGCTCTCTCCCCCTGCAGTCCTCTGGTGGCAGGCCCTCGGATCACAACACGGTACAGAGGCCAGTGTTCCCACTGTCACGCCCACTGTATCTGCAAGCGAGCCGAGGACTGTGCTGAGCCCTGTACTGCATGGCAGGACACCAGGACCCGGGAAGGCCCCTCTCCCTGGTCGCCCACGCAGTTCCCCTCAGGACACACTGCCTTGCCTGCCTGGGCAGTCGCAGGGCCTGGGCCTCCAGAACCATCCTGGCTCTTCCTTCTCTGGTTGAGAGCGACCACCTGAGTGCAGCCTTGTCCCAGTGCTCGGCGGTTCTGCAGCAGGGGCCGCCGCCACCACGTGCTGATGACAGCTGCACCTGAGCGTCCAGGCGGCTTTCCCATGAGAAGCCCTGAGTCCTGGCCTGCTGAGAACTCAGGGCCCACCTGTCTCAGCCAGTGGCCGTGTTGCTCGAGCCCACTGGCTTCCCTTCCCACCGATCTCGCTGGGCGTTCCGCGCCTCGGCACCTTTGCTGCATTTTCCACGCTTTGCCCGCCCCCCACCTCCCCGTGCTCCTCCCGTCTCCCCCACCCCTCCCTCATGACTGAGGACAGACTCGCTACTGGGTCGTCCCTAACCTGGGTGCCACCTTTGCCTTCCAGCCTGTGACGAGTCCTGCAGGACGTGCCAGGGCCCGACCAGCAGGGACTGCCTCGAGTGCGAAGTGGGCTGGGCTCGTGTGGACGACGCCTGCGTGGGTGAGGGCCGGGTTCTCCGTGTGGTGGCCTCTGCACCCCTGGCCTGCTGCCCCAGCCCCGTGCCGGGTCAAGAGGCCCATGCAGTCTGCCCGCTTCCCCTGCGTGTTCTGTGCCCTAATCTCTGGGCCAGGTGTCCTGGCCACAGCTGTCCTTGCTGTCCAATGCCCTGGGGCTCACAGGCTGATGGGCACCAGTCACCCTGGGACAGCTGGTGGCCTCAAGAGCACGCCCTGCTCGGTGTGCACAGGGAAGCCTGGTTTCATGCCTGACTGTGCCCCTCAGACCTGTTTCACGACGTAGGTTGGCGCCTGGCCCGCAGGGGCCACGGTGGGCACTGAGAGGCCACGTCTCTGACTGTGGTGGGCAGCCCCACGGGGAGGTCCTAGGTGGAGCTGTCCTCCGTGCAAGGGCCGGTGGCAGGGGAGGTGGCCCAACCTGTCCAGGTCCGCGTGGTGGAGCCAGGGCATGGACCCTGGCCTTGGTTCTGGAGGTCGCTGTACTCCCCACCCATCCCTGCTTGGCAGCACCCCACCCCCAGTTTCCACCCTGGCTTCCGCTGTCACAGTCTGTGATCAGGGTGTGTACAAACCCGGGCCTGGCATCTCGAGACACCGTGGCGCCAGCTAAGGGGCTCTTCCACAGGCAGGGGCCAGGCTGGTTCTGGTTTCAGCTCTCGGCAGCTGCGTGGCCTTAGGCAAATTAGGGGCCCAACTCTGCCTGTGTTTCGTATGTGGAGCAGGGAGGGCAAGGGCCCTGGGGTAGCTTGAAGCCACGTGCAAGCAGGAGGTACCACACACCAGCTAGTATCATCCATGTCTCCCACCGATGGCACCGAACTAGGGCCGGGCCACCTGTCCCCACCCCTCGTATGCACACAGGCCTCTTCCTCCCTGCCCTCCCTCCTCCAGCCCTGGCTGTCGGCTGCATCAGGCCATGGCCTGTCCCCTGGGAGGTGTGGGTGCTCACACTGCTCCCTTCCAGATGTGGATGAGTGCGCTGCGGAGACGCCGCCCTGCAGTGACACACAGTACTGCGAGAACGCCAGCGGCTCCTACACATGCGAAGGTAGGCCGCCTAGGACTCCGCCCTGGGCTGCGGTGAGGCAGCGCGCACTCCCAGGAGTCCTGGCGGGCTTCTGGTTCTTCCTTTTCGGACGTCCATCTGTGACTTTTGAGCATGGCTTCTTCAGGTCCTACCCGTTTTAAAAACGTCTAGTGTGTGGGACCAGCAGATGGCATGATGGTTACTCGAACCATGTAGTCGATCGTGGTTAGCGTCCCAGACCCAGTGGCTTGAAACTCATGCTGGGCACACATGCGTGCCCAAAATCCCAAGAGAAGAATGGAGAAGGGATTGTGGTGTGGCCATCCCCCAGGGGGTGATTGCTCACTTTCTGTGTCTCCGGTGAGCGCACACCCCCTATAGCAAAAGTCTCTCTCTGGGGGAAAAAATTTAATGTGGCAACATGATCACTTGGTGCAGAAAAATGAGAAAATTGAAATGTGCGGAAGCTGTCAAGCCCCACTGAGGGTGAGCCTGGTAATAACCGGCGCTGTCACTGACGTCCCCCCTTACCCAGGGTGCGGCGTGAGCCTCTATACGTTAGCTGTTTTCTGCAGCGTACTGGTGACATCGGGGTAGGCCGTCGCCTAGTGTTCCCTTCCTTTTCACAATTTGCACTTGCTGGAGGCAGACAGAAGAGAGAGAAGTGAGAAAAACCCCTTAGGAGGGATGATCACACTGCAATCCCTCCTTCGTTTTTCTTTTTGAGATTTTGGGCATGCACACACACATGTGCCTGGCATGCTTTTCAAGCTGCCGAGTCCAGGACTTGAACCACCATTGACCATGTAGGATCCAGTCACCCTAACCATCATACAATTGGCCAGGCCCGTATTTTTCTTAATCATACCAATTTTCCCACCATTTAAACTTCGACTGCTTTCTAGGAAGAACCATCCACGTTCTTCATTACCTTCTAGGGGTTAATTTCTACTTGCTCGGCCTGGGGGTGCATTTTAGGACTGCACTATCCGAAACGGCTGTGCAGTTCTTTGTCCCAGCAGTGGGGACAAGTCTGCCTCCCCTGCCTGCAACAGCCCGGGTGTTAACTGTCCGACGCGGGCCATGAGGTGCTGCCGTGGACACCTCCAGGATCCCGCGAGGTGGCTGCAGCTGTTGCAGGCACCAGGTCTTGCTGGAGAAGACGGCTGGCTGGGATTCTGCGTGGCTGGCAGGACCTAGAGGGCTGTTTCAGACGCGCTCCTCCCATCCTGTGCTTTGCCTCACTCCCCAGGAACAGCACACGGGCATGAAGGGAGTCCGCGCTCTCACCCGGAGGCAGAGCACAGAAAGCCCGAGCTCTGGCTGCCCGCGGCACTCCCACCCGGAGCACGGCCTCCTCCTGCCTCGTGTGGTGCATGGTCTGACGCTGCCACCTCCCCTTCTCCCCAGACTGCGACCCCACCTGTGTGGGCTGTACCGGGAAGGGCCCCGGGAAGTGCAAGCAGTGTGTCACCGGCTACGCAGAGGAGGGTGGACAGTGCACAGGTGAGCCATGTGGGCTGACCGGGAAAGACCTTCTGGAAGGACTGCTGAGCAGCTCTGGCCCAGCCCCTGGTGCCCAGGTCCCCACTTTCCCATCAACTCCTGGGTGACACTTGGCCATAGCTCAAGTTCAGCACCTCCAGGGTCATGTGGTGGTCCTAGGCTAAGCCAAACCCACCACAGCCACCCGGGCGAGCGCAAGTGCACGCCGGCTCCCGCCCTCCCGAGTGTGAGTGCATGCCGGCTCCCGGTCCTCACTCCCGCCCTGGCATTCTTTGTGCTCTGAGACGTGAAACTGTTCTCCTGAAGTCTCTCCTTGGCAGTCTTTGTGGTTAGAGTATGTGAGTGGGTCACGGTGAGTGACCCTGAGGACCCAAGATGCGTATCTGCTGTGTGTGTTCCTCCTCCAGATGTTGATGAGTGCTCCCTAGCAGAAAAAGCTTGCATGAGGGAAAATGAAAACTGCTACAACACCCCTGGGAGTTTCGTGTGTGTGTGTCCCGAAGGCTTTGAAGACACAGAAGAGGCCTGTGTGGAGACAGCAGGAGGTGGTGAGTGCTGCACCTCTTGCTGGATTGGGGCCTGCCCTCTCCGGGTACGTGGCTTATGTCACCATAGCCACGTGGTCTGGGAACTCCCAAGTTAAAGACATTAGCACAGACAGCAGCCTTAAAGGATGACCGCTGCGTTCTGAAATCAGGCACACAGGACCCTCACTGGCACACAGAGGCCAGGGGGGAGTTTGTGGCACAAACAGAAGTTAGGGACATGGAAGGCACATCACAGACCCGTAACTCAGCAGAGTAGACAGAGGTGAAGGTGGAATCAGCGAACTGGAGAGTGGGTCTGGGGGAACTGCTGAGGCTGCTGCAGAGGAAGGAGGTGGAGGATAGCGAGATGGCGGTGTGTCCACGTCCTGGGCTGCCGTGACCAAGGACTGCCAACTGGGGACCTCAGCAGAGATGAGCTCCCTCTTAGGGAAGCCAGGAGTCTGAGACAGGATGTCAGCAGGGCACACGGCTGTCTTCTCCCATGTCCTCATAGACTCTTCCATGTGTTCACACGTCTCTGTCCAAAGTGCTTCCGTGAGGACACCACCCCCATATTAGGGACCACCCTCATAACCCTGACCATCTGCAAAGATGTTGTTTCTAGGCAGGACATGTTTATGGTACCTTTGAGAGGTGTCATTCTGCCCTGGCAGCTTCAGAAGTTCTAGAAAAACCCAGATAGTAGGAAGGAGGTGCCCTTCAAAGAGGCCACGGCCAGGTTTCCCAGCTCCACATTCCAGAAGCCTCCTGAGTTCTGGGCAGCAGGCACAGTGAGGCCACACCTGAAGTGTCTCATCCCCTCAGGGACAGCAGACGAGCCGGTACTCGGCAGCCAGACTCGGGGCTGGGCTCCGACTGGCTCCGGGG